ATATGTCAGAGGCTGACACACTACAAAATATCTGTCAACAGAGATGCAGCACAAGTTCAAAATGGAAGATGTGACCAGAATCACATCAAAACAGCCCCGTAACTTACAAAGTACATCTTTAAGGTGCCAGCATGAACTTACTGACAGCATAGTGCTAAAAGGCAACACCAAAACCCCAACAAGCAGATCAGCCACAGCCAGGGAGAGGATGAGATAGTTAGTAGGAGTGTGGAGCTGTTTGAAATAGATGATGGAGGTCATTACGAGAAGGTTTCCACACGTTACAAGAACTGATAAAGAGCCAACAAAAACACACAATAAGTATGAAGTGGTAGCAGTTTGCTCAGACTTGGTTACTGATTCATTACAGAAATGTTTGTTCTCAACAGCATCATCAGCGGTGCTGACAGAGAAATTAGTTTCCATTCATAAATCATCAGTAACACTGTGAACAGGAGAATAAAACAAAGCTGGATCCCATGTTCTGTAGAGAGATTTTCAATTAGTGTTGTTTGTTTCACCCCACACCCAGCGATGCAAACTTACTGAGATGAGTCCTTCGGTCTCTGTGACTCTGAACTGTATCTTTGGATTGGATTTATTGTTGTGGGCTCATTAGCATAACAAGTTCAAGGGAGTGGCCAGGATTGTTTCTGGACATTTTGATAAATTAGTCAAGATGTCCACTGGTTCCGCTTTGAGGATATTTAAATAATCCTCCAATTTTTTTGTGGTTGTTTCACATTTAAATGTCAGTGAAATAGGCACAAAACCATGATTTATCGCTGTTCATTGTCATACAATTCACTGAAGCTACAGACCTTTTTTCCATATCATTTATTTCTCTGTGGGTCAGTCATTTGTAGCCCTGTATGGGCAAAATTTTAAAGTCTTTCTTTGGCCATTGATTGACCACCTAAAAACACATCTCCGTGTATCGAAGTTAGATATTTAGATTATTATTATTATTATTATTTCTTCCATTAAAATATTCCCATCTTGTCCTTAAATGGTTAGATTTCTAACTCTATACTGCTCCCTTTTTGCTACAGTTCTAGTACACCAGCTCACCTATGATTTTCTGCAAACAATGCAAAACTACTCTAGACTACAAAATGCTCTCGCTTAGCATTGAAAAGAAAACAAAACAAGTGTGATATGTTTTGATTTTGATCTTCTCAGCAAAACTGGTTTCAGCCAAAACACATGATGCTGCCATCACCATGCTACACCACAAGTATCAGTTTCACCAGGTTATGTTTTTTCTCTCAACAAGAAAACGATATGTTGTGCGTTGTAACGATCCTGTTTGACAGGATTTGGACTTTTTCAAAATTTGTGATTGAAACTTGAAAAATTCTGAAATTTGGTGAAGTTGAAAGAAAATGGCTTTCATTGGAAACCAATGACGGCTGTGTCAACAGATTTTCTTTTTTTTCCTAGTCTATAAATATGTAAAGCAGCAACAAGGAATATAACATCATGTGGTCACTAGCTTTGATGTGATGAACCAATAAATGGGTGAAAAGAAAATCTGGACTTTGAAATACAGATTTATTAATGGAAAACAAAAGGGAGTATAATCTGTACCAAAGAGGTATAATCTGTTACAGGTCACAATTTATACCAGGTTATAAAGCAGCCTAGGCTCTTTTCTACCCTGACATATATTTTCACAGAGACAAGACTTTACTCTGATATAATCTGATCTGGCCTGCTGCACCTGTAGGTACAACTACACCTGCAATTTAGTGCATGTTAGTCCCTCCTTTTGAAACTGTTGTTTCCTTATGTCCTAAGAGTGACCTCCCGTAAAAGCAAAAGTGGTTTCCAGAGTTCAACTAGTGCCCCAAAAGCTAATGTGTTCTGGACACACAAACATGGATACTGTATAGTTTCAATTACATTTTAATTAAAATATATCTATAACAAGTACTTTAAATGCATTCATTAGCTTATTTATTACTTTAAGTTTGTCGCTTTTCTTCGAAGGGGTTAAACAAAAGTTTTTTCTTTCATGTTTCACTACAAAGGATGAGACATGCTAACCACAACTTTAATTGAATTAATTACATCTTTGAGCAACATTCTTTTCATTGAAGAGCAGAAAAAAAATGGTTAAAAGCCTGGTTACGAATGCTGTGTAACCAAGTTTAGTTTCCTTGCTTCCTCGTATTGAATCGTGACAGTATGATGACGACAGAGTTAAGATTCTGAGCGCGGCCTTTCAGAACTTTTGCAGAAATTCACAGTCAGTCTTTATTGTTAGATGTAACAGCAGCTGCTATTTTTGATCATATTGTCCCATTTTTGTCTAAGATATGTGTTGGGGTTAAGTTTTTCTTGTCTAAGAGAAGAAAACATCTTTTAATAGGTTTTTCCACCCAATCATCATTCACCGAAAACTGTATATTTCCAAATGTCTCTTTTTATTGCTGATCATATCTTCCATCAATTTCCATTCTTTGGAAAAGTGTATTGTTTGCATTCACACATTACAACAGTGTTTATTATTTTTGACTTAATTACCTATTCATAAATCCAAATTTACAAATTAGAAAAAAGAAAAAGGTTGTGAAAACATAAAACACCTGGTCCTATAGTTGTATGTACAATGTGTGTTTGTTTTTTGTGTTAGTTTTTTACTTGCTGTATACAAGTTTCAAAAAAGTTGTTTCATCATTTAGATCTATGAATGGCAAGTACAAGTAAAGCTACTTAATATTAGCAAGAGACAGCCTTGCAAGTTCTTGTCATCATGCTTATGTTCAGACACAAGAGTATTGTTACATTATACACAAAGAAATCATCAGTCCTGCTACTGTAGGTGTCTCCATGGTTACACAATTTTAACTAAGCTATCAACCAATGTACTGATCACTTCCTGCTCATTTTGGCCATTCCCAGATGCTTAATCGATTGCACAGAACATCAGATCTCTCTTGTAGTGGAAATAATGTATAATAACTATACTTTTATTGTGATGGCCTCCTGCTATGGTGCAGACATAAAACAGAATGCTTTTCAAATGTACACATTTAACAAACAACAACAAAAAAAACTACTTCAACTTATATGTAAAACACGACTGATTTATGTTTTAACAAAACTGTACACTTTTAGCTTGACAGGTCCAATCTGCATGTCAATACTCATTTTAAGCTGATGCCTTTGCCCCCCCAGTCATGTGCATCGTGTGCACTGATAATGATATTATGTGTTATCATGACATGACACAACTAAGCAGCTGCCTACATAAAGGCACTTTCTAGTTTTCGGCCTAAGTGTCGATCAGTTAGACTTTCCTGTTATACACACGTGGACAAAATTGTTGGGACCCCTCAGTTACTGAAAGAAAAACCCACAATGGTCACAGAAATAACTTGAATCTGACAAAAGTAATAATAAATAAAAATTCAATGAAAATTAACCAATGAAAATCAGACATTGCTTTTGAACTGTGGTTTAACAGAATTATTTTTAAAAATAAATTCATGAAAGAGTTCTGGACAAAAATGGTGGTACCCCTAGAAAAGACTGAAAATAATGTGACCATAGGGACTGGGTAT